GTGTGTGTGTGTGTGTGTGTGTGTGTGTGTGGCATGGGAGCAATAATGATAAAGATAAAAGATTACAAATAGTAGTGAAGAACTACATTCATGAGATGATGATTAAAATATCTTTAAATGTGTAAACTGAGAAACCGTGAAAACAATTTCACCTTAAAGTCCGAAAAATGTATTTAAACACATTTAAATCCAACTTGAATGTGTCTCAAAATGGCACATTAACTGTATTCTAGATTGCATCAACTGCATATTGTTAATACATAAGGTGCAATTTTATCATGTGAAGAAAAGCACAGTTAGAGTTCAGACATTAACAAATACTTGAATATCATCATAGATTTAGTAAAATAAAAACACATGTATATTATATGTGTAGATTCTTCACAGCATCAGGAAACAGTCGCTCTGGTCTGATGCAAAAAATCTGTCATGATGGCAAAAGCAAAAATTACAGGTTTGGACATGTGCTGTGTGTTTTCTACCACATGTGCCACCTAAACTTATTGAATATTAATCCTAACATGCTCTTATGAATCACAGCAGCTTAGCACCAAGTAACTGATGTATTCACACAGTCAGGCCACACATGCAGCTACTGTAAAGCCTGCCGGGGCCTCACATGTTGCTGCTGTGTGACCGTGACTCATTTTCCACTGGCCTGCAAGCCTTCCCTGACCTTTGGGCCTGGAGGTGAGGATTACCGACTCTAAGGTGATGACTGACAGCTCTTTATCCTTCTGCCTTTCCTTATTAATTTTTCATTCTTTATTTACGCGCATGCATCGCCAGCACAAACAAAGTCATTATCAAAAACAGGAGATTCAAATTAAATGGTTGGATTCATTTTCTGAGAAACACAATGTGAACCTTGCAGACTCACTATTGTTCCTCTACCGGGAAAAGTGACTTTTGCCGGGTTTAAAAGATCATGGTGGAATTTGCATTTCCAATTCATTACTGGGGAGACACCAGGTATCTGACAGCATTACTGGGTACATTAGAAAGTCATATTTTTAGACTCTAGGGTTAAATAGCTCTGGTAAATCATTATCACCAGCTGGGTATTTACATTAAAACTGATGAATAACTGTTGAAAAAGGGTTTTGACATTATTTTTCATTCCAACATGACATTCATTCATCAGTGATTGATGAATGGAATATGGATAAATATGAATGGGATCCTGGTCTTGAGATCCTGATGCCCTGAAAATCCCCTAATACCTTGACTGATTATTAGTGTTGCCATTTAAATGAGAGTGACTCAGTGTTGCTGTTTGCCATCTGTCAGTTCAACTCATTTTCTCAGTTCACGCAGGACAACCAGTTGTTTGCTGACATCCATGTGTGTGTGTATGTGTGTGTGTGTGTGTGTGTGTGTGTGTGTGTGTGTGTGTGTGTGTGTGTGTGTGTGTGTGTGTGTGTGAGCCTAGTGAGCAGCCTGGCTTACGAGCCCTCGGTACGATGAATACCCCTGTATCCATGTTCAGTCATAAACTTCACATTACAAGCTGCACTCTGCCACCGGTTCTAAAACAGACTCTAGCCAATGTTTACAACGCAGCCTTTTATAGTACAGATACATACCAGCGCTAATCTGTGGATTTTATTCATCTGTGTGCTTCATGGGGGGGTGACCACGCCTGAGCCAAATAATTGTTTGAATTGTCTTTAATGTGATACCATAATGTGATCCTCATGACAAGGATAGTCATGTACTCAAATAATTTAATTTGATCTTATATTTATAGTATTTTAGCTTTATGATACTGCCGATCGTTTCTGAGTGCATCAGTAAACTATCAGCTTAGCATCAAAGCCAAAAAGTCAAAGCTTTACACAGTGATATTGTATACAAGATATTGTCTGTGATAATGATGATGCACCTGGACTTTACTTTCAAAAGTCTAATAATGGATTTTCTAAAGAGAAATATGTGCAAATCAATAGTTGACTGGGAGAGAAAGAATAAAACACACTGCAAATGTGAGCTGAGATGAGTTTTAGAAGTTTAACAGTTCTCATGGAACAAGTTGCACTAAAATCTGCCTTTATAATGATAATAACTTTATTTATACAGCACCTTTTAAAACAAAGTTACAAAGTCCTCATCGGTATAACAATGAAAATCAGTGTTATTATTATGCATGCTTCGCCCCAAAGGTAGCATGTAAAGTATGGTAAATAAGAGGGGACCCAAAACTGACCCTTGGGGGACCCCACAAAAAACGCTGGGGGGGGGATATTTACAGTAACTCAATGTATTTTACTGTAACTCACTTCTGTGTTATATTTGTTGTCATTTCTCAACTATCTAAAGGTTTTATTCTATGAGTGACTAACAAGAACAACAGGTACGAGAGAATGAAGAGGGGGAAGGACATAAGAATAAGAACGAAAATAAGAATACCAAAGTTTTATTTCTGTAGCACTTATCCAAACAAAATTAGAAAGTACTCTACAAATACATGGGAATCAAACACAGAGAAAAACAAGACAAAACTTAAAGAAAAGATATATTAAAGAACCAATCTGAAGGTTTTTACGTCAGAAAAGAGAGAACTAATCTGATTCTAGCTTTATTTCATAATATAATAAAGTTATTGACATGGGCTGCAAAAAATATAACTGTGAATCAAATCTTTCACCAAAGCTCCAGGTTTAGATTTAATGATACATCTCAGTGGAGAACAGTTTCCTCATCCTGCTGCTGACTGCCTTAGAAATAGTTTATATGATGTGAAAAAAAAAAAACCCATTGTTTTCCTCGGAGCATGCCAGGTGGCAACACATCCATTCCACACGTACCTGACAGACCCCATACAACTCCACATGCTCCTGGGATGAACATAAATATGTAAATATATGAGCGCTGTGCACAGTGTGAATACATTTTGTTGTCAAATGTTTACGTGTCCCTACCTGGAGCTCCTGCCGGTGCTGCCAGATGTCTGGTCTGTTATGAACAAAAGGAGGGAATAATAAGCTCCTCACAGATGTTGTGCAAAAAGTCTTGAGAAAAAACTAAAACAATGGATGTGATTTAACAACTGAAGTCTTGTATAGACTTTAATATCCACACTGACAGTGAGGGTGGATGTTAAAGTGCTGGGAGGGGTCTGGGTTGTGTTTCTCTCCCTGTCAGACGTTTGTAAATCTGTTGGTTTGCTTCTGTCACTAAAAATCCGTCTGCCAGAGACCCCACAGACCGGCACCGGGCTCAGGGGTGTGTCATCAACGATGCTGCTTCTATAAACACAAGGACACACACATTGTGTTACACAGCAGAGACGTGAGCGCACAACGAGACGTGGGACGTAAGAGGCCACTGGTTCAGACAGGTAGGTTTCACACCGTCACAGGGGCTTCACCTTTTCTTTCTTTGGTTTTTTCAATCAAATGAGAAGAAGAATAGAAAAAAAAACACTTTGGATGATTTCAAAACTGATGACTTTACATTCACATCAAACGCTTTCTGTCATTTTTGAGTGTAAGTGCAGCTGACTGTGATGTGCATCTGAGGTGTGTCCTGTTTGTCTCTGTGTGCAGCGTGTTGACCTCAGGGTTTAACCAGCTGTGTTTCTGGGCTCCAGAACAGAGAGCAGGGTCATTTGTTCGACTCTGATCCAAGTCCAACTTTTACTGAACAGATCACAAACCCACAAATCATTTACAGAGCTCACTAAAAATAAAACACACACAAAAATAAACAGTGTGTGGTGTTTTACAAATGTTGTGTATGGGCAGATTAATTCATATATGTTGTTATTTTTGATGCGTATATTCATTCGTTTTTAGAAGGTACAGCAGATAAACTACATTTTGTCGGTGTTCAATGCTAACACGCTGATATCAGGAAGGCATGTTTTGCTATGCTCACCATCTTAATTTAGCATGTAATAGGATGCTAGCATTTTACAAATAAAGTGGAGAAGTCATTAGTAGCAATGAAATGGAAATAGAAAAAGAAAATTGTTGTAAATAACTAACTGAACGGTTGCTTTTGTAAGATCCCCTTTGAAATTTGAACTATTTATTGATGGAATAATATTTGACTTGTGAATTACTTTCATCATTCGACATTTAAATGTCACAATAAATTACTTTTTAAGTTAATGTGTTTTTAATGGATTCATTTGTAAGCATTTTATAAGACAGTCAGTTAATAATTGAGGAAATGATTCATTACTTTTAGTTTACTTTTACCTTAGTCGTTTGCCAGATTGATGAATGTCAGCAGCTCTCATTTGACCATAAATTAGTGGAGATAGAAAATTCAACATGTGACCATTCTAACAGGGATGAGCAGAAAAACACAAATCATTTAAGCACAACAAGTTATATCACTGTATCACTGGTATGGCTAAAAATATCCTGCGTGCTCTGGAACTATAGGCTGATGTGAGGCGAGTCTGAGGAGCAAGTGTCTTAAACATATTCAATAGCATGAAATTGAAGAGTTGACAAAAATGTTCTTTTTCAGTTGTATTTATTGCTCATGGAGAAATTGTCCAAAGTCTCCAAACCTGTGCGACAGAAGACTCCTGGAAACCAGACGGAGGCAGATGACAAGATCCAGGATGCGAGACTGCAAACCAAGCAGGAAACGACAGATGAAGGTCAAGTAGGAATGAACTGTCGTGTCATTTTGCTTTACATATTTAAGGTGCGGCTGAGCAGAACCGTAACCTTACCTCTTCCTGCTCCACAGCACAAACAGACCAAAAGGAGATGTCCGGAGAGGCTTTGGACCGGAGGAACATCTGGGAGCCGAGTGTTTACTACGCTCTGGGGAAGGAGTCCTTTCATTTTGCTGGTCATGACATCAGTATCCGCGAGTCAATAGATAGTTATGGAGCTCTGATCTGGCCCGGGGTACGTTCTACCCGAAGGTGTGTTAGTACTCATTCACTGACATGGTTGTAACTGATGTAATGATGAGAATTTGCTCTGCAGGCTGTCGCTTTGTGTCAGTTTCTGGAGAATAGCCGGAGACAAGTGAACCTGATGGACAAAGCCGTGCTGGAGGTCGGAGCCGGGACTGGTTTACTCTCCATAGTGGCAAGTCTGCTGGGTAAGGCTAAGTATTTAGTACTGTTTATGAGACATAGACTATAAAGATGGACGTCATGACTGATCCCCATGGTCTCTGGCTGCAATAACTTAACAAGGTTCACGGCTCCAATGTGAATTTGTATGTTATGAGGCTGAATCTGGCAAAAGAGCTATCATCCAACGATAATAGTGAATAAAAAGTCATATCAGGTTAATCCCCTCTGCTGCATGAATATCCACAGAATACTTAACAGAAATCTATTCGTCTTTTGTGCAGAAGCAACATCTGATCTAGTGGAGAAAGTGGAGGGAACATGAGGGGATCATTTAAAAACATTGAGATTCTTTGTCTGAGAACCATGACCATCCACCCACACCACATTTCTCACATTGCAGACAAGCCAGTGAAATGTAAAGACATTTTAAAAGACGTCCTCATCCTTTCAGCTCCTCTATTATGCATGCAGTGAAAACACAAGTTAATTTATCCCCATCAAATAAAACATGTTTTCAGTCAGAAAGAATCCCTGCATTTCTACAGATCTGTTTTCTCTTCATTTGTCTGTCGAAATGAAATCCATGAATTTATGAACAATAATTCAGAAGCACTTCAACGTGAGCATCAGTTACGTTACCCATACAAAATTAGAGTTTAAAGACTGACCTGTACGTCTTCTCTGTAACTGAATATGCAGCTGGTCCTGTCAGAGAGACATAGGTCAGTGAAGTCATGAAGGTTTATCATTCTTATATTCAGCCAGCACACTTTCAGTTTCCCTCATTCTCCTTCTTTTCCATATGGCAATTAATATTCAACACTTATAAAACTACATACTTACAAAATAGTGTAGAAATAAGTTTTAGAAATTCTTATACCAGCTTCAGGGCTTTCACAAGTTAATGTTTTCCTTTTTTTTTTGGTTGCTCACTTGTTAAGTGTATTTGTATTTAATAACTTTAAATGAAATTTTAAAAATTAAATTTTATCATAAAGAAACATGAACCTTTGGGATGGAGCTGCACCAAATTTGAATGTGTTCTTCCTTGGGTTATTCCGTACCCCTCATGCAAATTGGTTTTTGCAGTCTTTACGTAATCATGCAAACTAAGCAGACAAGAATATAAAGTCCTTGGCAGAATTCCACTGGTTCCCACAGACGACATAAAGAGTTTAATAATATCTTGTATAATCTCTAAAGAGAAAAGGGCTCAGTGATTTCCTAAAACAGGCACCAAAGTTTAAAAGCATTAGTCTGGGACTATTTTCATGCGTGGATTATGACACATATGTAGACTTCCCAGCAGCTGGATGGTGTTAGTGACGTCACTTAAACACACAACAATCAAGTGAAATGACACAAGAATGAGTTTAACGAGAACTGGGCTCAAAAGACAAATCTTGGTGGCAACAATAATTCATTGATGGTTTTGAATTTGTGGACAATAAAACATGAAATCAGCAGGTTTCTGTTTTCCAGGGGCTTGGGTGACAGCCACCGACCTGCCGGACATCTTGCCCAACCTGACCTTTAACCTGCTGCGAAACACCAAGGGCCGCTCCCGCTACACCCCTCAGGTGGCGGCCCTCACCTGGGCTCAGCACCTGGAGCGGGACTTTCCCCATCTCTCCTACCACTACGACTACGTGCTCGCGGCCGACGTCGTCTATCACCACGACTCCCTGGAGGAGCTGCTGGAGACCATGCGTCATTTTTGCAGACCGGGAAGTCGAACTACGCTGCTGTGGGCCAATAAGATCAGGTTCCAGTCAGACCTGAGGTTCACTGAGCGCTTTGAGAGCAGTTTTAACACGAAGCTGCTCACTGAGCTCCCACAGCAGGAGGTGAGGATCTACCAGGCCACAGCGAAGGAGTGACATGAGCCTGAGGAGGAGGGGCAGTTTGCCAAAAGTTAGAAATGAGGTGTTTGAAAACAGGAGATTCCATTTGTTCTCACATCCAAGTAAAGTCTGGTTTTGGTCTGTGTTTTCAAGACATTCCTAGATAGTGTTTTAGTTTGTTATCACACAGAAACAAAATTAACTTCCTGTCTCAAGTTTTCATTTAAGAAGATTTTATTCACCAGTACTTTTTCATACATTTGTGATGTTATTCAACTTTTGTTCAGTAATTTATTAAAAATAAATTGATTTGTTATCATTTCTCCTCTATTCAAAATTGTCATGTGGTAATAAATCTACATAAACCTTCATCAAAGGTGTATTAGAGCAAAAAAGTAAGTTACATAAATGCTTCAGAAAATGTTTCCCAAAAGCATAAAACTTTGCATTTATGGTGCTTCATATTTTTGGTAATCGATTTAAAATAGCTGTGAATAAGAAAAAAAATGAAAATAGAAACACTTACTATAGAAAGCATACTCTCTACGGGAGAAAACATGAAATAAAGATCTTACATGTTCAACATGTGACAGTCGCTTAGCACCAGAGGTACCACATCACTGCATCCTGGCTCAAAATGTGAATTTTAAAAATACATTTTAAATCTAAAAGCTTTATAATAATGTAACACATGCACATACAACCAGAGAGAGAGGGGGGAAAGAGAAGTGAAGGTGAAGAGGGAGGGAGAGTAGAGACCAGTGAGGGTATAATGTCAAGAACTTTCACATTTCAATACGAAATCAATAATCAAGTCAACTCCTGGTTGGAAATCCACCTCCGTTCAGTTTTTTGGGGTTATTGCCCCGAATAAAAATTTTAAGTGAAAACTGTTTCTATTCTGCGATTCAGAAAGTTCAGAAGAGACGTGCATCTGCCCTGAATGTTTTTCAAGGTGTTTCAATGACTCTACGACACGCAGCAGGTTGAAGACTTTGGCTGCTCTAGTATGGACTCCCTGCGGAGGTCGTTTGGGATGCTGCCTTCAGGGCCCCAGAGGTTGAGTTCTCCATAAATACCCATGTCGATCATCTCCTCCTGCCACGGGATGGCGATGTTGCCAGATGAAAACTCGTCAAAAAAGGTTTTATCGGGATCCTCCAAGGCCACGCCCTTCACCGAGGAGAACGCTCCGACGTCGTCCAGACTCTTAGCGTAGACCACTTTAGGGTCAGGGACGAAAGGAGGAGGTACAATACCTGAGGAGGCGAGCGTCAGGGTTAAATTAATTATTTTATGTATGTTCAACACTGAGGAAGATTAGAAAGTAAGAAGAAATGAATTGTACCTGCGTTCAGTTTCCTCCAGTTGATGTCTTGAAAAAATGGGTGAGCTCTGATCTCGTCGCAGCATCCGTTCTTAAAACCCATCCGCTGATCGACCTGTTTGGCCAGCAGCCCTTCACAGAGCGACTTCGCATGCTCACTGAAATTCTCAGGATAGTCAACCGACCGGTTCAGCACACGCTCCTTCATCTCCTCACGGTCGACCTGAAGAAGAGACGAACATCTCATCATTATCATCTTTATCGTACAGTCACAGTAGAGGTGGATTTGGTTGACAGGCCAATTTATCACCATATTGCATATAAAGATCAGATGTACACAGAAATGTTCTTCTAGCAGGAATATTTGATACTGCACAGACACTGAATAAAGACCACCCCCCCATTAGAGATATTTCACTAAATGTCACCGGTCCATAGATATCAACACTCGACACATTTAAATAAAGATAAAGTTGCAATGTTTAAGAAAGAGAAATAAAAAAAATCATGCGTTCGCCCCCTGGTTCAGATCCGGATTTTACCCTGAGCCATAAAACATCCTTTTTGTGTAATTTTGCTAACAAACAAACAGATGCAGAAGAAAACATAACTTCATTAGCGGAGGAAATAAATCCACGGGTAAAACTGGAAGTGTTCTCTGAGAGTGTATACTGAGAGCTGATTGGCCACTTCATCACCATCATAGATATTAGCACTCTACACATGCCTGGCTCTCCTAAATTCATTTCTGCATTATTTGTAAAGAGTTTCACAAAAATTTCCGCAAGACGCCCCATCTATCTCACCATGTTAAAGAATGTTTAAATAAAAAGCTCCCTTAAACTAATCTGCTGCAAAAGTTTTCAATCGATTCAGTAGTTTTTCATTAATCTGCTGTCATACTATAATAAGGGGTGACTCACTTTCTCCCCCCTGTTCCTGAACGGGTTCTTTGCCGCCATGAACTCAAACAATGTCACCCCCAAAGTGTAGTAGTCAACTGAGGTGTCATATTTTTCTCCTTTCAGCATCTCTGGAGACATGTACCCTGCAAGAATCAACACAAATCAATGACAAATGAAATATATGATCGGGTAACAGTGAGACGACATCTTTCAATAACACGTGTTTCACTCACTAGACGGAGGAGACTCACCTGGTGTCCCAGCGTAACCTTTGGTCAATGTTTTTCCTTCTTTTAGCTCCACAGCGAGACCCAGGTCAGAGATACGCACGTTCCCTGTTCGACAACATAAAGAAATCTTCATCAGCCACTAGTTACACATGGATGACGGCTGTTTTTAACATTATGAAAAGGATTACCATCATTGTCGAGCAGCACGTTCTCTGGTTTCAGATCTCTGTAGATGATTCTCTTCTGGTGCAGGTGCTCCATACCCTGGATGATCTGAGCTGCGTAGAAACAGGCTCTGGGCTCGTCAAAGCCCGGGTTGTTCTCATCCACCAGGTAGATGTGGTACCTGGCACAGGGACGACACAACAGATAAGACTAGAATCCTGTTAGCTTTCCTTCTTACGTTTTTAAAAACTACATTAAAATAAATTCTGGACAAATAAATAGTTTTTAATCAACAGATCTCACTTAATTGATTTAGGGTTGGTCAATATGTCTTTAAGTGACTGGTGCTCTATAAGAGGGACCACTCAGGATTATTCCTCTCATGAAAACAAACATCTGCTGAGAAAACATGTTTGCATGAAGCCTGAAGTCCAGCGCATCTACAACAAATGACCTTTACTCATGAATGTTATTGAGATCTAGTTCACATGCTGTTTCCACCACACATGAGGTGACATGCAACCAAGTGTCTGTCTCATTGACTGTATATAAAGATGGACGACGCGCCTCCTCCTCCCCCCAGTATCCAGCCTGCCGTCCTCTTGCTCATTAGGAGCCAGAGTCTGCACAGCGTTGATCAGGGGGTGGAACCTCAGTAGGGAGGTCGATAAACGTGTTTGACCAATCGTGAGTCAGTCTCAGCTGTCAATCATTTCAACGTTTCAACCTGTTTTGAAGTAAAATCAAACTAGCCTGAAACATAAACACTCAAACAAACGTCAGCGTGTTAAGAACCATCCAACCTTTGACCTTTTAGATTGATCCATGAACACAGAGGAGAATTTACAACCTGTACTGCAGTCAGCCACCAAGTGGCGATTGGGACATTTGGGCTTCACTTTTGGGAGCCGTCATGTCCCCATCTTTACAGTCTGAGATACAGCGATTGATAATACATACATGTGAGTATTATTACATATCATTTCTCTCACTGTAATGACACTGTTAGTTGATTAATGGTTCATCAACAGCTCGTATCACAGCTGACTTTGTGACACATCAGTCTGAGGCTGCCAATAATGTAAAGTGGTAAGAAAAGTAAAGAGCAGTCACTCCATCAATGAGCCAATGTGAGTGTGAAGTTACTTGAGGTCTCCTCCATTCATGATGGTCATGACCAGACAGAGCTCCTCCTTTGTCTGGAAGGCGTACGCCAACGACACAATGAAGCGACTGTGAACCTTCTCAAGGATCCTCTTCTCCACCATCGCACCCTACAGGGGAGACGTAGGAAAGATAGGTTTGAGAATAAAAACTGTAAAAGTGCAGGAGAAGAAGAATATTGTACTCTGTGCTTTCATGTCAGGGACAAAGTGTATTTCAAAGAATGACCTCAGACACGTCAAGGGCAAGATATAAATGTGCCAAGGAGTTCCATTCAGAAGAGCTTTTCACTAAAGCTCTGAGTAATCACTCTATCCCCGTCTCAGTGTTTAATACTGCAGGCTCAAGCCAAACGAGACAGAGGCTGCAGGGACAAAGGTGATTAGCTCCAGTAACATACAGGCACTCAACACCTGCAGGATAAACATCAGTGCAGTTTTATTGAAGTACAGTGTAGACTGAGCCAAACACATCATTTTTTTTAGAGAAATACTTTCATAGATTTATTACTATTAGACTGGTATTGTCACTGTGCACCTGCAACCTGGAGTAACAAGCACAACCATATACAGGTTTTTATCTTTATGGCAAATTAAATCTGATTTTATCTTGTGTTTAAACTGACTCCTTTTGCTTTGCTTTTTAATTACCTTTTAGATTTTTCTTCTTTATTAAATTGGAATTTTTTTCACATTAGAGATCGTATGGTTTGAAATTTTATTTTGTCTTTATAAACCTTAACTTCCTTTTTTTGGTCATTATTTTACTCAGCTATAATTGAATTACAGGTACCTCAGTGTATTTACAAGTTAGAGCGATGGTTCAGTGACTTTGATATTTTGATAACTTATTCTAACTTAAAGTCATTACTGTCAGATACTGAACGCACTAAACTTCACTATGTCCATAACGGCTCCTTCATGTTAAACATGGTCACAGTCAAGATAAGCAGGATTAGAGCAGACCTTGTCTTCTAAAACAATACTGTGTGTGTATTTGAATTAAAGAGGCTCATATGAATAAAACTATCTTACACAAAAGTCCAACATCATGGTGAGTCAAGGGGACGTTTGTTCTCTCACCTCATAGCCTTTCCTCTTCTTCAGCCTCTTCTTGTTGAGTTTCTTACAGGCATAAAGTTTCCCTGTGGCTTTCATCTGACAGGCAGACACCTCCCCAAACCCTCCTTTCCCCAGCACGCGGAAGTCCAGGAACCAGTCTGCGTCCATGGGCTGCATCTCCAGCCACTTCCACTGCAAGAACCTCTTCAGGTACAGGCTCTCCAGGTAGAAAGTGTAAGGGGCCTCCCGCAGGTAGTCCAGCGTCCTGGCCAACGCTGCAACGAACAAATCATCCCGTACAGATTCCTGGTCCTCCTTCACCTTCGCTATGATGTCCTCAGAGAGGAAGGGGCAGTAGTGTTTGGCAGAGGTGTCCATGTAACGCTGGACAATCTTTGAGGCCTTCTTCACCCTGTCAGAATCCTCTGCCATGTCATAGCCCTCGATGTCTTTCCACAAACGACAAGCACCGTGATACTCTTGATTTGCATCCAAGAACTCCCTGAAGAGGCGTTTGCCGATGGGTTGTTCCACACAGGCCGAGTCAAAGGCCAAATCCAGGGTTTCCCTCAGGCCCTCGCACACAGTGATGTGGGGCAGTTTGAGGCGAGAATGGTACTTCTTCTCCCGAGCTGCTGCAGGGTTTGATCCATCGATGCTTCCACGGGCATTGATGTAAGCAGAATTTGCAACCACTGTGGTCAGACCTCCGATATCCATTTTGAGGGTATGTGACTGTTAGGCGATGCAGAGAGGAGACATTGGAGGAAGAGGATAAATGCTATCTAACGTGCAGGGGTGAGGCAGAGAGAAGGACGAAGCAAGGGCGAGAAAAGAGGCAAACTGATCACAGAAGAGTAGCAGAGGCCAGGAGAGAGAAAAGGGGACTCGAGAGTGGTGCCTGAAAGAGATCCCAGCAGAGTTTGAGCACTGTACCACCCTCAGTCTCACACACACCCACCTGAGTCAACACCTTTCAGTAATCCACTAACACCCTAATGCCCCAGACAAAGTGTGCGAGCACCTGCTGGAACAGGGGAACACTGAGTATCTGCAGCTGACGTTTCACCAGTAACCACCTGGCATTTCGATTTCATACAACCAATCATGTCATTGGTGATTAATAAAAAGTAAGATGTGGCGAAATCATCATGTTTGAGGCCAACAAATAATCTATACAGGTTTTCTATTAACATACCAGATTATGTTAATATTTCTACATTTAATTACATTTGATATTAAAACTAGAATAGCACTCAGTAGTACATACCACCGCCACAGACAAAGACAAAAGTCCTACATTTAGTCAAGCTTCACCAGATTTCACAAACGCAGATCAGTCCCCTAAACGTGCTGGAATTTTCTGATCTCATGAAATTTCTGGACTGATCCAGATCAATACAATTGAATCTGTTGTTACCCGACATTACTTTAGTCCCATTTTTTGCTTCTACAGTTTTTCATGTGGCATGCTGAAGGATTCACCAAGACCTGTCGTGTAAAATCATTTGAGCTTCCCTCCAAGTTAAATTATGTGGTAAAAATCTGAACCCACTTTAAAATGTGCGGGTTTTTTTAGGTAAAATTGATTAAAAGCAACATGCTCAGACATGTTATACAGCTTCAGGATTACACTTGTTGTCATGTTGAAATAGACTCCACAACAGGGTGTGCTACATTTTGGCCCTCGTCTGTTCTACATGTCAAAAACACATGCACACACTTCATTAAAAATAGGGCAGTGTCATTGTCAGTGGTTACACTTGTAAATCCATGTCTGTTCTAAAATGAAATGTAAATAATCATGTAACAACTCAAGTTTAAAATACATATTAAGTTTGCAAGCAAAGGAGAAAAGAATCAATTGTTCTCACCTCAGAGACGTCTCCCTCTTCTGGAGTTTGGAGCACACTTATGAGGATTTCCTCTGACGAGCAGACGCCTCCTCAAACCCACCTTTCCCCTGCACACGGATGTCTGTGAGCCACTGTGCAGCCATGGGCTTTAATGAAGAGGGTCTCAAACCATATGAGCCTCTTAAAAACAGATCTTCTCAGATGGTCTGTTTAAAGAGCAACTACTACTAGAACTTACAGGAAACCTACATGATTCAGTTGGTACAGAAAAAAATACTTTGAGGTATGAGGTGTCTCAAGTTCTCCGGAAAACTCGATGTTGTCCGAGGCTCGACAGAAACTGTTGGTCAACTTTTAGCTGCAACAAACCTACATACATTATAGAAACAAACTTATTAAAACAATCTATATTTAATTTGCAAACTTATATTAGATTACAGAAAAGGTATTTGGAAGTCAGTACATGTGTTGCTCAGTTTTAAAAGAGATCTTTGAAGGAACACACCAAGACCTACACAACCACACATTTTGTTACATCAATAATTTTTTTATCTCTTACCACTGGCCTCTAAAGGATACTATAAGCTACAATCGTTGTAGGACTCATGTACGTAATTAACAAACAAAGCTTATTTACCTATCAGGAGCCAGGGGTTATGAAAGTTCTGACCTTGCTGGTGCCATAATTTTTGTAAACACTACCAAGGCGTTAATAGGGTGGTGATGGAGAATTCCTCAACTCCAGAAATACAAAAAATATATATAAACAAAACTAGCAAACAAGATCAGGAAAGCAGCTGCCTATACAACAGAAGGAAGCCGGCCCAACAAAAGGGGGATAACAAACTATTTCAAATTATTGCCCAGAACATAACAAAAAAATCGACACATCTGATGGAGCCCCATCCTGAGATGACATGGCAACTGTATTAGGCCATTCAGAGTCCATGGTGCTGCTCTAACAAACGTCAAGCAGACAATTTGGCCATCATGGAAAATTTTGATCATCGTGTCTGCTATATGTAACTGGAACATAATAGGAATAACTATTCAAACAAGTACATTATACATTCTCCAACAGCAGTAGGTTTTACAGAGGGTTGTTTTTAGTGGGATGGCTTATTAAGAAGTGGATTAGACATACAAAGACTTCAGTGTGGTGGCAGGGCCACAGACCACAGTTCCCTTGGACGACACCACCCCCAGAGCTGTAATGCATGTGCACAGGATTCGGGAGCAGAAAAAGATGGGTGCGAAACACGCGCACACACTTCTGTTCGATTTTCATCTACACCCCTGAAAAAGCCAGACAGAAATACAGGCATGGGGAGCAGAGGGAAAGGTGGTAGAAGCACACACACAAACAGGGGGGACTAGATTCCCACGGTGAAGGTGGTTTGAAGGACTGTGCTTGTTGGAGCGGCGAACTAAAGACAGGTTTAATCTTCGTCGTCGTTCTCGTCGTACTCATCCTCATCGTCGTCATCCCCCATGTACGACACTGGAGTCTCCACACGAGAGCCGCTGTAGTGAGAGTCATTTGAGCTGGAGGCCATAGTGCCATCGGTGCAGCCATCACTACGAGGAGGAGGATTTTATCGTTCAGTTAGAAAACAAGTGAATGGTGATACAGCAGCGTGATGAGCACGACAACGTGATTTCTGTCACATTTGTTGGTTGAGTTCCAGGTTAAGCTTCTCACCTGCTTGCAGGGTAACGAGTTCCATTTGCTGAGGATCCTCCAGTGATGTAGACATTACTAATGGGACCCTTTGCCATCTCTGAAAAATGAGAAATAACATTAAGCTACAGATATATGAATTTGATGATAACTGAATTTATCATTCTGCTAAAGTAACACCACTGTTACAATGAAGACCCGTTAGCACTGAACACATCATGATTATAGAGAGTAAATATGATGGACGATGCATCTCCACTTCTTCCTACTATTCAGAAATTAAGCCACAATGTGAATATGAATGCTGCCATTTTGCACCAAACGAGGTAACGAGGTCCCGCCAATAAACCTTCTCAACCAATCGCAAGCAACTAATTAAAGCCAAACATACTGGAAAGAATTAGCTTTTCAACGTACATTGGGGAGATAAGAACAGCCTAAAATGTCAGAAACTGACTTTTTAGTTTGGTCCATGTCCCATAAACCAACATGGAGAAGGCAAGTTTTATGATATATACTGTATCCAGCCACCAGGGGTTGATGGAGATGCTTTGGCTGTGATGTCGTCCATCTTTACGTAATCAATAATCATGATACAGCTTCTCTCCAACTTTCCTCAGCACTGGGACGTGTCAGTACTTGTTAGCAAACGATGTAAACAAGCAACCTTGAATGTTTCCAATAAATGTGACCATGAGCCTCTTTGTTTTTTGTTTGTATCTGACATTGAGTCAAAAAAAGATGGATTCCACAAACTATTTAACAGACATTTTAAGTAAAGACTCAACTTCTTGACTTGCAACGGCACTATTTTCTCAGGAGATCATTTCAAGGTTGTCAGATGAATTTCACACACATTTTCATTATATTAAAAATGTTCGACTTTCAGTACCTCTCTTAATTCTATTTGTTTGGTTTGAGGTTTCAGAATTTTTACAGGATATAGAACCAACTATCTAAATGCCTCTAGGTAAACAAGCTGTGGTACTGACCTATAACGTAGGGCTCCAGAGCTTTGGGCACTAAATTACGTGCGACCTTCAGATCCTCTGGAGAACACTTTCCCACCTCCAAACCACAGGCCATGCCCATGCGTTTCAGCACCTCGATGTCATCGTGGATCTCAAACATGCTGTCGAAGTTGAACAAATACTCAAACCTGCAGATGTGAAAGAGAGAAAGACATGTTAAGTTATTACATAGAATGGAAAATACCAAAGATGCAAAACATCTGATCTTGTTAACTTTGTTTGTGTAAATTGTGCGTTAAATGTGTAGTTTGGAAACATCCATTATGTTTTCAGGGGTAGGGTCAGTGCAGGGGGGTCGTAATTATGTATATACACATACGGACTATAAAGCACGCATTGCACTCATTAAAGGTTTTAATAACACAGCTGCTATCAAACTGCAGGCAGACACAAATATATGTGGCTTCAACTCAAAATTATACATTTCAAAGTCAAAAAAACTAAAGCATATGATTCACCTTCAATTGAGTACCTGCTTCTCCAAACCTTGTGTGTTACCCTGAAACACTGAAAAAGCCTTACCATCCTATTTGGCAGGGTACAAGGCCCTACATCAGATAATGTGAAACTGGTTCCCAAGGAAATTCCACTAAAAGGAACCTTTCTCATCTAATCTCAAATCTGCACCAACCACACAGTTGGATTTCTCCTGATACTGCTGGTGGAGAGAGGGTTCGAACAAGAGCGAACGACCAAGCGATAGCACTGAACACAACAGTGAAGCGACAGTGCAAAACACTTTAGACTGTAACAGGAAAATGTAGAATATGTCTGGAGAATTAAAAGAAAACCTAACATTTCGCCCACAGTGCATTTCGCTTCCTTAACACAAATCTCAGAGAATCACATATATTTTATTATCTTGACATCATTTATAAAACACACTATGTCAGATCTATCTGTAAAGAGAGAAACCCACAGGCATCACACCCTGGAAGCTGCATCTGATCTTGACGTGTTAGTTTAAAACCTTGGGAGTACACTTTATAGTTTTCAAATAAAAAAGCAGAAGATGAAGCACATACTTGTCGTTGGAGATGCTGCAGTCGATGACAGTTTTCTTGCTGGTGTTGACAATAATAAATGGAAGGTGGATGATGGAGTTGGGGGGTGGAGGTCTGTTTGCCTGCTGCTCTGTTTGTCTGTTCCGCTGAACCAGGTTCTTAAACGCTATTTGCTATTAAGACAAGATCAAGGGAAGATGAACACTTTGATGTAGCTAAACAGAGTGGTTGCTTAAGAGTGGCCCCATATTTAACATTATTAAAAAACAGTCTTTAGCTGGGTTTATTCACCAGCAGTTTTAAGGCAGTCCATCAAAGTAAATGGTTTGTAGCTCAGCACAGAATTCCCACAGATTTTCATACCCACAGGACATTATCAAGCTTTGTGATGCATTCTTTATATACCCTACGTAAACATATATATACACAACTGCTATGAAGAAAGGGAGGGGACATTATTTAACTTGCTCCTTGTTTCCATCACAGCAGAAACATGTAAAGAAACACAAAAACGCCAGTCTCAGTTATTGTAGACCTCACATGCTTTCTCCATGGCTTCTGTGGCATTGACATGTAGCTACATTTAATTTAAGGTGGAACAAATTTGGGACAGCCGAACTGGCATAAGAGGTTATAGAGGCTACAAGTGATGATCACACACACAGAAGCATTCAACTCTTCCCCACCTGCAGTATGAGCTCCTGAAGTTGTGATTGTTTCTGCTTAATCCTCTCCAGCCGCCTTTGTCTTTCCACCTAAAATTAATATAGAAGAAAAATATTATTAAGAGTGATAACATGCACTGATTGAGAGTTAACATCCCCAATACAAGCTAATATAACGACAGTCTTGTGTTTTTCTACCTCTAGGTTTTGGCACTCCTGTGCTGAGTTGGTGGGAAGGCCAATCCACTTTATTTCTTTCTTCTCTTTAGAGATAATGTTCATGGCCATGAGCACATTAAGTGCATCATACACACGCCTCCGAATGTTCTTCTGGTCATACACGTGCTAAAAAGGAAAAAACAAATGATTCTCAATATTAACAAAACATAACTACTAATATTGCGTTTCATTAGACCAAGCATAAAATTTAGATTTGTAGGGTTTTGGGAAAATGTCATGAAGCACTCACTGAGTCGTTTGGAGACATGTGGTTATCTGCAGAGCTGAATTCTGCCACCAGTTCATCTGCAACCTCATTGTAGGTGGTGACTCCTTTCTTCTGCACTTTCTCACACACTTTCATGGAGAAATGCCTCAAGCCCTTCCCATTCTTTTCTCCTTTCTTACCACGCTTACTGCAGAGAAGAACAGACCCCCCATAGAGGCACAATGATTATTATGTATGCATTTCCTTTTTGACATGGATCATATCAGACTTTACACATGCTATTAAAACTTAATCCTGACAGAGCTCGAACAAAGTCAAAAATTGAGGGCCTTTTTGAGGACTTACCCTGATGACCATGGAGAAGCGTCAGATGGTTGACTCTGAGTGAGGAACTGGGAACTTGGTGTATGAGGACTGTTCACCAAAATGGTATTTGATACTGTGGGCCTCTGAGGTGTTCCAATTACCTGCAGAGGACAAGAGGGTGAACTTGAATCCAACTATGTTTTAAAAATAAATCATGTAAATAAAGTTTTACTGAAGAGAAAAGTTAATGTGTATGGGGTCCCTCGCATCAGGAAAAAGATAAAGAGAGATATTTATTGACTAATTAATTACCAGTCATGACCATGGTTTGACCAAATCAATTCAAGACATTGCTTTAAAATATCATTAATAATAGTAATGAGGTATCGAAGAGATGGACGATTGCATCACTCAGGTGATATCTAAGCTGATGTACGTTATGTATATATTACATATCTACAGTATAATGGGATGATGGGTGTAATCCTGCTGACTGTAGAGTTGATAAGCTTAGGATCAACTGCCTCCACCTACCCTCCGCCCCGGTCACCTCACAATGATAATAGGGGGGGCTTACACAACAGTAAGACACTGCAGAGAAACCCAGCATGTAATGCACATTCATACACAAGTGCATCTGCAGGTCACTGACAATTAAGAAACTGACTGTTGTATATCTATTGAGAGGTTCTGAACTCTCACACAAATGTGGTTGTGAAAGCACAAAAGTGAGACGATTGTCAAGCATCACTCACCATGTGTGGCACATGTTGCATGTGTGCAGTGATGTTCACGTTGGAAGGCCCAAGGGTTTTGGGTAGTAGCTGTTTGGCCACAGGGACAGCTGTGGGTTGGACAGTAACCAAAGATAGGACACCTGATAGAGGACATAAGAAGGCCAGTAATGAGTAGAGCTTATGATTGAAACTCCATTGCCCCCTATCGTCCTGCTTACAGCACATAGGACTACACATGTCAGTTTCGTATACTTGACTTTGTTATCTAAAGAAAATACTTTGTACATTTTCTGTGTGGATGACAATTATTAATAATTTGTACCTTTGCTGGGGCTCATATTCTGATCAATGAAAACCTTCAGCTCTCCATTTGTTTCAATCAGACCAGCCTGCAGAGGACATGAACTTAGTACGATCTAAAATTCAACAAGTTAGATGAGTCCAGATTTTAAAAAACAAAACAGGAGTGTAAACATAACATTATGGGAGCAACATAACCGCTACACCAGCTAATACCAGCTACAATATCTGCAAAGTGAAACAATGTGCACAACTGTTTCCCAGTAAAAACCATGAGTCTCATTACTTACATCTTTTGCCATGATCCCAAAGGACCGGAGGAGTTGAGATTCAGACTGAAAAGAAAATATCCCTTAATTCTTCACTCTTCAGACCCTGGAGACACAGAGGACAAACTACTGAATAATGACTGTGGTTCATTTATAAGTAAAGCAAAAAACATTTCATTTTTATACACAATATATCCTGCGTTTAAATACATGTATTCATTTGTATTAGCCATGCAATAAAACTAAACTTGTTGTTGCACTAAGGCCCATATGAAGAGCTTGCTGCCAGCACATTGTGCAAAGCTACATCACCAACGTTAGCTTGAGTTACCGGGTATTCTTCTTACAGGAATCAAAATGACGGAAAATGTGTGTATTTAATAAAGAGCTCCATCCTGTGAAGCTTTGAGAGACGGTTCTGAATGCAGCGTGTCTGCAGAAACCCACATTTAACAACCCATCGATGGCCACAACTTTTCCTGCGCTAAGTGTGCAGGAGGCCTACTTCAGGTACCGAGCACGTCCTCCGGAGAGGCATCGTCGAACTTCTACGGGTCACGCAAACGTGTTAACTTTACCTCACCAAAAAGATCCGATACTGAGTGATCGCACCACACGGTTACACACATCGAGGATGCACGCAGTAGTAACAACATTCATCTGGTCCCGGGGCAGCAGTGAACAAGCTTTTGTTGAATGCAGCTAGCTAACTGTTACCGCTAGCCCTTACGTCCAGCTCACTCACAGCTAGCTAGCTAGTTAGCTTCTGCACGTTTTGGAAATGATTCGCGTTTCGATTTTAGCATTTGTAGGTTGCATGCTACACATTTCTGACAAAATGAAGTGTGGGTGAACATGTAAAGAAACGCGTGTACCAAGGAGGACAAGGCGAAAGTAGTGATTCTGTGCACTTACGAGTGCACTCCCCCGTTCCTTCGACGGCTGTTGTTGTTGGCATTAGAGAATGGAGGAAGAGGAGGTCTAAATCCCTTCTGAACAGGAAACAAACTAAGTCAAGTCGAAGTACTTTTACACTGTTTTACACTTAATTCTACGGGCAGAGTATTTTAGCAGTGATGGGTATTTGGCTCGTGTGTTTGTGGTCTCCTCAGGTTTCTGTGTTGTGTTGTTGTTCAGCTCATGAAGCTGGGACTCTGCCTGTCTGTCGATTGGGGAAGCTGCATTAAAAAAGTCCTCTTTTTCAATTGAAGAAAGATGGACCACATGAAAAAAATTACATGGAGGCAACAAGCATAAAGAAAAAGTGCTTTATTCCTCCTGTGAGTGGGGATCATGTATATGTACCACTAACAGCAAATATATTTCGAAACTACTTCTGAAATGCCTGCTGCTGGGAATGAGATCATTTCTGTTTTCTCATGTTATTGACAATCATCGACATGTTATTGTCACATGTTACACCTCGCATTAGTCAGCAACAGACATAACAGCATCCTGAGTTTACATTCAGGAAAACCTGAACACATTTATCACCATTTAATATTAAACCATGTTTTAAACTAACCTGAATATTTACATTCTCGTGCAATATTTTGTGTTAACTTTTGTTCGTTTATTATTGATGGAGTTGATCTGTTATCTCACGTTTTCATGACATTTTCACTACACGACTGTTTGAGATGAAAAAGCTTTGGTGAAATAAATATAGTTTTGTTTAGCAGAAGATAACGGATCCATAACAATCACCGTGAACCTTTACATTAAACTAAAAGCCCTTGCTGGTGACTCCATTAGTCTCAACTACACATACAGTTCATTAGCAACTTGTCAGAAAACGCATTGAAGTGAACGGATAGTGTTCAGTGCTGCTGCTCTGCTAGTTAGCAATGCTCCGTTTGTTATTTTAGCGACGACCTGACTGGATGTTTCGGTTTGAAAAGCCTCGAGCACCGGCGCTTTGTTAGCCAACAAGCGCTACGCTAGCTAGCAGCTAGCGGGCGAGCTAATCCACAGCTGTCACCGAGAACACCAGCAGACCCGAGCTTCGGGTTTAAATTCGTGTTCCCCCCGGGCAGCTTCGTTTTCAACCCCCGGCTTCAGCAGACTGCTCGGTAACACGCGTCTTTAAAAATGGACAACTTTGTTTTCGAGGCGGATTGACAGCGAGAGCCACAAGTCGATGAGAGCGACTCACCCGGTGCGCCTCGCAGGTTAGCAAGCTGCTCGTTAGCCTCCTCTGTGTGTTAGCCTCTTGCTACAGCAGCGCGACTCTCAATCTGATCTTGGCGGTGTCTGGGTTTGCAGGACTGTGATTGGTCGAGAGCGACGATACGACAGCAGAACAGTCAAAGTGCTTCATGCCCACAGTCTGCTTCTCCGCGAGCCTGGAGGAAGCCGACCAGCGTCCGAGCTGCTCACAGCGCCACCTACCGTACGGGAGTGTGGAGGCTGCAGCGCTTCTCTGGTTCTTGCAGATAAAAGTTTTGGTTGCACCCAAAATGCACCGAAGATGTCTCTCAACGATAGGTCACCTTAAAAAAAAAAAAAAAAAAAATCCACCCATTATCTGCTCGGCACTGTGCCGATGGAGAGGTGGTGCGAAGAGTTTGAGTCCACAAAACACGTGAGAAGTTTCAGGGGTAAACAGCGTTGCAGCCAATTAACTGGTGACCAATTTTTTTAAATGTAAAAAAACAACAGGGAGAAAAAAAACATAGAATGCCTTCATACTGCTCCTGTGGTGTCATTTAAGTGTCCGTAAGCCCCGACATTCAAATTCGACTCGACCTGTGGTCATTTACACCATGTGTTTTAGCTTTAGCGGATATTAAGGCTTTTTGTGTTCGCTCATAAATGGTTTTGTTTAGTCAATGAATGATGTAAACTTATAAATAGAAGAAAACAATTAGCTTCTGTATTTACACATTGTACTTTGCTTTTTATATATAGAATGCATCATAATGCACAAACTTTTTATTTTATACTCTTTACTATGTTTTGTATTTCTCATCAAAGTACTTGTCCTGTCTGTTTTTCTATTCTTGGCTGTAGCGACTGTAATAAAGCCCAATGCCCCTGGTGGATCGACAACATTTGATTGTGATCACTTCATCAACAAATGAGATGACAACATCTTAATTGAACACAAATAAGCTCCTGCTTGAACTTAAGAATCATCATGTCAGTTTTCTAATGTATATATAAAGTAACACAGCCCTAACTCAGGCCAAACACAGCAATGAATGAAGACACAAAGGTCTAGTCCTCTCATTAGAAGTTTAATTTCAGCAGCACTCCAGCCCACAGTTTACAATCAGTGTAAAGACCTTGAATGAGTTGACAGTATGTTTTCCTTCAACAGCGAAGTATCATTTACATGCTGCTGTGAGTGTGATTAGCATGAAGTGAGTGTGCTCGACGTCAGGCTGTCATTGGAGCCTCCCTCACTGTAACATAGAGCCAACAAAAATAGGAAGGCTGGCTCCCACAGATACTGTATCAGCTGCAGAGCTGTGTGTGCTATTCACTCTTATTCATGGGTGGATTCACTTTCTCCTGAATCCTAAAACCACCCGCAGTTCTGCAATAGATAGTGTCTTCTTAGAAAGTATTTTATTTAAAGTGTCTCAGGGATGGAACTGTTGATTTGAATCTAGTGTGACTTTGAAGGCTGTAGTGGTGTTGTTGAATTAAATTGTGTCACACTGGGGCAAATGATGTTATTATTTGGTAAACCTATAAACTAATGCAGTCTGATACAATCCAACCTTCCTTCTTAGAGAAAATGATGAGCAGTTATTGAAAGTGACCCACGAGGTTGTTGATTCAACTTGTACAGTTACTTTTAGTGCTACTGTATTTTGTTGTATTATTTTGTGTCACACTGGGGTAAATTATATTATTATTTAGTATAAACTAATGCAGTCTGATTCAAAAGTCCTGCAATACAACCTTCCTTCTAAGAGAAAATGTTGAGTAGTTATTGAAAGTGACCCACGAGGTTGTTGATTCAACTTGTACAGTTACCCTGAGTACTACAGTATTTGTTGTATTATATTGTGAGCATCTTTCTCAGTTTGATTGTTATAATATATTACTTTCAACCATCTGCGGGTCAAAGTCAGTCACTGTGAATAAGTCAAATGACAACATGAACACTTTCTGCTCAAACCTTAAATAGCTCTGCGCGACTGCTCTGGCGCATGCGCACAATGAGCGTCGGTCGGGCTAACAAACTGGTGAAGCAGCGGGTGTAAAAATGGTAGGTAACCAAAATAAACACGAACCCAGGCTTCGGCTTTAGCACCGTGAAGACCCAGCTTCACATGTAGTGTCACGGTATTAAAGTGCACGTCGTGTCGCGGTTTGACGAGCCCGCGGTGCTCAGTCGGTTGTGTTCGCTGCTGGTAACAGGGAAGGTCAGTTGATGTTTTGAGAGCAGCTAGCTAGCTACACGTCCCTGTTTGGCAGCCTGGTAACTTCGGCTGCGAGCAGGGTCAGACCCCGGAGCTCAAACCCGGGCACACACGGGGTCATGTCGGTGTAATCCACACCCACAGCCCGGGGGTCAAGCGGTGTTAGCTCCACTGCTAACGTCAGCGATACAGTCCCCGGCTAAGTTAGCTAGCGTTAGCCGGGAGAAGTTACTAGCCGGGTGGTGTGTGGACAATGCTAACCCAGCGTTTCCCACTCTGGTGACACCATAATCCGCGTCTGTGATTAACCACAGACCTGTGACTTGATTTGCTTTTGTATGCACATGAACCAGGGAAGGTTGGAGAAGTCACTGTTTCAGTCTCTGGTTTCAGGAAACTTCATTCAGCTGCTCTGAGGAGGTGCTGCTGTGTGCTTCTTCAGGAAATGATCGATAACTGCTGGGATATCAGAAATATTTCCAATATCAAGTCATCTGCTGTTTTTTTTTTTTACATAATCAATTGAACTGTGAAATCTCAGAAACTGCACCACACAGTTCCCCAGGGATCGAGCTGATGTCTTCAAACTGGTTGTTCTGTCCAATCAACATTATTCATGTTACTGTGATGTAAGATTAAAACAAGCAAAGTGTCATATTCATTACATTACATATAATTTAGATGATGCTTTTATTCAAAGCGATTTCCAATAAGTGCATTCAACCATAAATCATGATCGATCAACTCGAACGTTTTAAAAGCATTTTTCTGCAAAGTAATGTATGAAACCTGACGTCAAAATTGTCTCTAATCATTTTCTACGGCTTCAACAAGCAGTTGTTCTCATGATAAATTACTCAGTCAGTTATTTTGTCAATTAACCGATTTTTTTGTCTTTGTCTGATCAATGGTACTAAACCTCCAAATATTCAGGTTACTGTGATTCAAAGTAGAAAGTCAAACTTCATATATGCACATTTGAGAAGCTGAAAAAAAACATTTGGGGCATTATTACTTGAAAAAGTGATAAAGACATTATAATGCACTTATCAAGACAGTATTAAAACTAATGTAATTATTTATTGCTTTATTGTGTAATTGATTTATCAACTAATTTTAACTCTGATATCGTGTCAGGAACTCATAAGATTTAATTGTCATATTTGTTTAGCTCAAACTTTTCTTTGAGGATGTTTCCTCATAAAAATGAAGTAAAGTGTTTATAATGTTATTTCAGATTTATTGCTGAGTAATTATCTATGGCTGCCATACCATTTTTTTCCTGATTAGTTGATCACTGGTTTTGTCTTTATGTCCTAAACAAATTAAAAAACTGGAAGTTGATGGTTTCTCAGAGGCCAAAGTGGTGTCTTCAGATGTCTCTCTGTCTGTTCAACAGTCTAAAACCCCCAAAATATTCAGGTTACTGTGACATAAAGCATCAAATCTGCAGCACTAAACACCAAATGTTCAGTATTTT